TCTTAGCTCCCCACCCCCGCCCAGAACCTGTGGATGGATTTTTCCTGGGGAAAGTATGTTTGTACAACTGAAAGAGCATCAGAGAGAGGCCCAGGCCGCTGGGAGCTCCAAGTGCCAAGCCACCACTGGGAGGGACAATAGCAGTGGCTTCCAGCAGCTATCATAGGAGTTCCTCTGGGAAAGAGCATCTGTGTCCCAGCCAGCACCCTCAGCATTTCTCGGTAAGAGATACCCCGTTGCTCCAACAACCACCAAAACCTCAGCCCCACATTTACCTAGAGGAGTGATTACCAGACCTGTGACCCTGCCTCCACCTGGAGAAGTGATCACTTGAGCCACAGCCCCCAACTGCACCAACTGGAGGAAGAGGGACTCCCAGAAGCACAGGCTTCACATATACAGCTTGGAGGAAGAGATGGGTAGATACCAAGATAAGAGAACACTCAGCAACATAAAGAGTGATACAGAACCACCTAAAACTACAGTAACAGTGTTGCGGGTGGCCCTGCTCAGACACCCCTTAGGGGGAGGGGGTGAGAAGCCCCAGCACCAACAACTTGGGCACTGGGAGTCAGTGAGTAGCAGGGCGTGCTGCAGACGCATTTATTAAGGAAGTTAGGCCTGCCTTTATACCCCTTCCCAAGGTTCCATTGGCTCAGGTGGCTGACTCTGCTGAGTTGTCCTTTCTCAATGGACAGTCTCAAATGCCTGAAAGATACTTAAGGAAATGCTCAACATCCTTAGGGAAATGCAAATCAAAACAACTCTGAGATTCCATCTTCCACCACTCAGAATGGCTAACATAAAACAAAACAAAACAAACAAAAAAAGCCTATGTTGGAGAAGATATGGAAAAAGGGGAACACTCCTCCATTGCTGGTGGGAGTGCAAACTTGCACAGCCGCTGTCAAAATCAGTATGGCGATTTCTCAGAAAACTAATAATCAATCATCTTAAGACCCTGCAACACCACTGTTGGGCATATACCCAAAGGAGGCATGCTCACACCACAAGGACATTGGCTCAACTGTGTTCACAGCAGCATTATTCATAATAGCCAGAACTTGGAAACAACCTAGATGCCCCTCAACGTAAGGATGGATAAGAAAATATGGTATATTTACACAATTGAGTATTACTCAGTGGTGAGAAACAATGACATCTTTAAACTTGCAAGTAAATGGACAGAATTAGGAAAACAAAACAAAAAACCCAAAACATCCTCAGTGAGATAACCCAGATCCAGAAAGACATATATATATATATATATATATATATATATATATATTGTACTCACTCATAAATGGATACCAGACATAAAGCAAAGTATAACCAGCCTACTGTCCACAGCCAAAGAGAAACTAGAACCCTCTTCCAGAAACAGATGGAAGCAAATGCAGAAATCCACAACTAACCACTGGGCCAAGCTCCTGGAATATAGTCAAAGTGAGGAAGGAGAGATAATATGAACAAAGGAGTCAAGACCATGATGGGGAAACCCACAGAATCAGCTGATCCGAGCTAGTGAGAGATCACTGAGTCCATATTGTCAACTAGGGAACCGACATAGGACAGAACTAGGACCCTTGAATACAGGTGACAATGGTGTGACTTGGACAGTGTATGGGGCCACTGGCAGTGGGTCAAATGCACAAACTGACTCTGTGGGGCCCATGCTATATGGAGGGATACTTGCTCAGTCTAGACATGGGGGGCACCTTGGTCCTGCCTCAATGAGGCGATGGGATAGTCTCAGTTGATACCCTAAGAGGAGGCCTTACCCTCTCTGAGGAGCAGATGGGAGGTGGGATGAGGAGGAGGGGTGAGTGGGAGGAGAGGAGGGAGGGGAAGCTGGGACTGGAATGTAAAAAATAAATTGAAAAAATGCAAAGAAAAATGTTTGCTGAGGGAGAAGCTACTCTGGTTTGTCTGAGAGCATCTCAAACTATGACAAGAGAGACCTGGAAGACAGAGAAAACAAAGCTGTGGGAATACTGGTGTCCTGGCTCAGTCCACATCAACTTGACACAAGCTAGAGTCATCGGAGATGGAGCCTCAATTGAGGAAATGTCTCCATAAGGTATTTTCTTAATTAGTGATCAATGTGGGAGGCCACAGTCCATTGTGCTGTCCTGGGCTGCTGGTCCTGGGTTCTATAGAAAGCAAGCTGAGCGAACCATGGGGAGCAAGCCAGGAAGTGGCACCCTCCATGGCTCCTGCCTCCAGGTCCCTGCCATGTGTGAGTTCCTGTCCTGACTTCCTGGATGATGAACAATGATGTGGAAGTCTAAGCTGAATTAACCCTTTCTTCCACTAGTTGCTTTGGTCATGGTGTATCGTCACAGCAATGGAAACCCTAAGGCACCAAAGCCAAGGAATTTAGGGTTTCTGTAGGCTGGGCCCATGAAGTCCTGGGTTTGGCGTAGCCCTCTGGGTCCTCAGCTTGGTCTTCAATCTTCCAGCCCGCAAGGACTACTGCATATCATTCAAATTCCTACTTTATAGCCCCCAGTCCCAGCAGCTCCAGAACACAAATAAAAGAAGCAACATGGACATATTTGGCCACCAACATGGACACTCAGGACTCATCCACACAGCTAGAACTTGGGGGTTCCATTTTTTGAGGATGAGGCTCAATTGTGCAGGGACAGAATGGACATGACATCCCCACTCTGCTCAGCTGTTGGCAGTGGGGACATCTCTCATGGTAGGAACCCTCTGTGGCCACCATATCACTCCTCAGCTGAGCAGGCAGTGGCCATTTTTTATTTTTTCCCAGGCAGAGAGCCAGAGGGCAGCAGACCCTGTGGATCACCTCGCTTCCGGCACAGGTGCCAGGCCTTGTGCTTTGGTGATGTCCCTGGCTGGGGTCTTTGATTCAGGGCCTCAGAATGCTTCTCCATAGGTTTGGGTGGCCAAATGGCCAGTGTTTGGAAGGGGTGGTGTTAGAACGCACAGAGCAGTGTAGGGAGGAAGAATGGGACAGGGCTTTAAATGTTGTCCAGGAAGCTGTGAGCTGTCTGTGATCACTGGGGTTGGTAGTCAAGGCTGCACTCATTTGCGGACTGCATAGGTGGGACAAAGGTGGAGTCCACCCTGAGCTCCAGGCTGAGGTGCAGCTGCAGGAGTTGTGCTTTCTAAACCTGAGCACCTATGAGTGACAGGAACAGAGGGGACAGGTGGGGCAGGCAGGCTTTGACTCTGAAGGAGGTGGGCACTGACTTGGTGCTCCTGGGTGCCCCCTGGATGCTACAGGGAGAGATGGCTGCCAGGGCAGGGCAATGGAGCAAGTGGCCAAGGTCCAACTTAGGTTCAGCTTTCCAGGCCAGGCAATTACCCAGCAATCTGAGGCAGGGCCAACAGCTGCTGTCACATGCAAATGAATATCACAGTGGCCCATGTGCAAATAAAACTTTATTGACAAAAAACAGGTCTAGGGCTAGATTTGGCCCAGGGCTGCAGGCCACACATCTAAGCTCAGTAGGATGTGCCAGGCGGGGTCAGATCTTGTTAGATGAACCCTCCTGGCACAGTGCCCCATCCCCATAGGATCCAGGGCATGTCCCTGTCACAGCTGCCTTCCCTTTCCTCCCCAGAGCTTTTGCCTGTCCCAAAGTCCATTTGCTCGTAGGCTCCCACCCTCTTCCTCCCTTGGGTCAAACCCAAGTCTTCTTTGTAGCCCACTAGCAAGCTCATCCTGTCCCCACTCCTCCCTCCAACAGGCCAGGATCTGCTTGACCCAGGACCTTTGCTTATCTGTGACCCTAGCTAATGTGGGAAGTTGATGGAAGCCGAGCTGCTGATAGGCGAGGGGGCAGTCAGAGAGCCCAGACATCCTGCGGGGATACACTACACTACCTCAGCCCCATGCCACTGGGGTGAGGTGGAGATGCCTTGGGGATGGTGTCCCACCTCCTGGCAGCCCCTATATCCAGACCAGGACACACTGTGCCCATCATTCTGTCACTGAGCCTGTCTGGCCCTGGCCAGAAATGAGGGCACAGCCATGGCCAGGTGGGAATAGGAAGCGCTCAAAGGCTTTAACTGATCCTGAACCAGGGACTGGAGACTGAGGCAAAAATATGGCGTCCTTCATCTGGGTGAGGAGAAACATGGGGGCGGAGGGGCGAGGTTTTCTTTTCTTTCTTTCTTTCTTTCTTTCTTTTTCTTTTTTTCTTTTTTTCTTTTTTTTTTTTTTTTTTTTTTTTGCACAAAGTAAAACCCAGGCCTCCCCGTGAGGAGCATATGCAAGGCCATCTGCAGCCACTTTAGAGCCTACAAGGGACACAGCCTGAGACCCCAGCTTCTCCCTCTAGGCTCAAGGTTGGGCCCTTTTTATTCTCTTTACAATATAAATAGAATTTCAAAGTACACATGGAAATGGAAGCCACTGGGCACTCAACAGAGGTCCAGTTCCCTCCAAGTCCCCAGCAGGTCCCCAGGGCCAGGCCTGTCTGTGCAGTCCTTTGTCATGTACAGATGAGCTGTCAATCCTAGGGACTGACTGAGGTCTAGGGTGCCACTGGCTTCAAAAGAGACAGAGCCACCCCACGGGCAGTGGCCACTAGTGCAGACCAGGCCTGTGCAGTCTGTGTCTCTGTCACCCAACCCGTGCTGCAAGGGAAGGTGGCACCTGCTTCCTCCTGCCCTCAGCCACTCAGAGGCTCTGTCAAGGGTGACAGCTCATGGGATCCCAGGCCACAGCTTTGGAACTGAACCACCTCAGGGCCTGGCTCACCCATGGGGACACTGCCATCCCAGGTAGCAGAGGCAGAGTGAGGTGGACTCTATAGTTGGGGGGGGGGACAAGAACAGGGCAGGGGTAATGGGGAAGGGACTTAGGCTCCTCCCCCAGCAGGCAGCAGAAGACACCACAAGCAGTGGGCCACCTCACGGGCCACCGTGCACTGGGTTACTGGGCTGTCGTCCTCCAGGGTGACACCTGAACACGTGCCTCTCCACCTGCTCAGTAGACACCTGACATCTGCAGGCGGCAAGTAAGAACGAAACTTTTATCCTCTCGCATCTTGGTTCCGAGGAGAAACAGCGTGTCCGCTGTCAGTTTTTAAAGCCACAAATCTAGAAAACAGGTTGGGGCTGTGCCCCAGTGTCCTCGGCTGGCATCTGTCACAGGAGGCTCTGGGATGCCCCGTAGCACCTTTAGGAGAAGAGCACAGCCAGGCCGGGTCCCACGGAGTCACTGCAGTCCAGGGACACTGGCCCCTCTCCCTGAGTCCGGCCATGTTGGATCCTGCTGGTCCTGTCACCCAGGTAGGCCCCACAGTGGAGACAGGAGTGGGCAGCATCTAGAAGGGTGCCCCAGGTCGGCCCTGTGCCTGCAGCAGGTTCTCCACAAAGGCCAGGTATTCGGGGCTGTGCCTTGTGTCCTCGGTGGTGGTGGCCAGCATGGTGGCCACTCGAGGGCGCTTGGCCGCTTTCACATCCTCTCCAGAGAAGCCAGGCTCCTGTGGTGTCCCAGTGCTCAGTGACTGCAGGCATCAGAGATATGTTGCGGAATTAGTTTAAGATGTGTTACATTTGTTTATGCTGTGAAACATTGTTTAAAGATGCAAGGATGTGCTGCATTATTTTATGTTGCACTTGTTTAATTCTGTAAAGCTGTGTGACTTTGCCTGTCTAAAACACCTGATTGGGCTAATAAATAAAAAGCTAGGGGGAAAAAAAGAAAGCTGAATGGCCAATAGGTAGGCAGGAGAGAGAAATGGGTGGGGCTGCCAGACAGAGAGAATGAATAGCGGAAATCTAGGCTGGAGAGTGAAAAGGAGGATGCCAGGGACGCCACCCAGCCAGCCACAGAGTAAGAGGGAAAAAAGAGACACAGAGTAAGGAAAGGTAACAAGCCCAGAGGTAAAATGTAGTTAAAGAGAAACGGCATTCCTAAGTAAGAGTAAGTCTACATGTGTTTATTTGGGAGCTGGGTGGTGGGGCCCCAAAGAGCAAAGTGTTAAAAAACAAAACAAAATCAAACAAAAACTACAGAGATGGATCAGGCTGTCGCCCTGGCAAAGACTGCACCTGTCACTGCACCCTGACTCACACCCAAGGGGCGGTCCCCAACTGTCCCTAGATCTGAAGACTCTGCCAAGTAGACAGACACCTGTGGTCCAGAGTGGTGAGCCCTGGGTGACTGTGGTCAGTTCTGGGGTGTCACTTATGGCAAGGGGGGGGAGCCTGTCTGGGACATGCATCTTCCATGCCCCAGAGGGAGGTGCCCAGAACACTCACCAGCCTGGACCGCACCCTCTTGGGCAGCTCTTCTTCCAGGGTGAAGATGTCCCCACGCTTCACTGTCAGCTGAGACCCATCCTCAAATTCTACCTGCAGGGACATGGGATCTCAGCATGGGGAGGGCCACAGGGGATTGGCCCCATCCCAAAGAGAGACCCAAGGTGGCAGGGACTCAGGTGTCCTGGGGTCACAGGGCCCCGTGGACAGCTGGTCAAGCCTGGGGCTGCTGAGGTCCTGAGCAGGCCCTGGGTGACAGATGGATGATACGGGTAAGATGTGCCTGGGTAGCAGAAGCCAGGCCTGGCTGTGTAGTAGGGCACAGGCCCTGGATGGGAGGCTAAGGGGGTCCCAAGGTCCTTAAGACCTGCTTCCCTCAACTCAGAGTGGCAGCTGTGACATACTGCCCCAAACAGGCTCCCTGCTCCAGAACTGATACCCAAGGCTGGGATGGGTCAGGCTGCTGGGCTGCACTGGCATTCAGCCACCTTGTGACTGAGGAGCCCAGGTGACCAGTGGCCTAGACCCCAGCCTGGCTCCAGTGGTCCTTCAAGGGTTCACTGGAGCAGGGTGAGCCTAGGCTGGAGACCTGCCAGGGCAGTGGCTGGACTATGCAGTGTAGCTCTGACAGTCCCATACACTGGGAGTCAGGTTCCCCAGGAGGAGGAGAGTTCTGGAAGGTGCCTGCTCTGCTCACTTGTGATACTCCAAAGGGAGGCTATACCGGCCTAACATTCTGAACAGCTGCAGACCTCAGCCCAGGCTGCCCTACAGGGGCTCACACAGGCTTCTGGAAATATCTTGAGAGGAATGTGATGGGCATGTGGATATACCCTTCCCCTGGTTGTTGGGCTTCAGGGTAGGGTAACCTGGCTGGCCTACCACTTTGTGCCAGCACCTTGCTTGGCCATACATGTGCTGTGTGTGTCCCCAAACAGCCTGTCTTTAGACAAAGGGATGGCTGGGCTGGACTGCCCAGTGGGAGCACAGGTGTGTTGCAGTTCTCTGTTGTGGTGGGTTGTTTTGAGACAAGGTGTTCTGCACAGCTCAGGCTGGCAGCTCTGCCCCAGGCTGCTTGGTGGCAGCACCCCAGGCTCCCCCTTGCCCAGTAGCCTCTGTGTAGCAGTAACAGGGTAGGCTAGCAGGGGCTAGGTGTCTGCTGCTCACCTGGTAGATGAGGCTGGTGGCTGAGGAGATGAACCTGGCTCTATACAGGTTGCCGTCTGTCCACCGCAGCTCCACCAGTTCACCCTCGGGAGGCGGCCCTAGTCGCAAGCAATCTCTGCTCTGCAGGGAGGGGACAGTGAGGCCCCGCCTCGTATGCCCACCCCACCCAGCCCCTCCCTGCCCCGCCCCTCACCGTGATGCTCTCTGGGTACAGGTTGTCGCTGTAGGAGCCATCATCGAAGTTGACCTCGTAGAAGGTCTGCGCAGTGGTGCCTATGACACGGCAGCGATAATATAGCCCATTGCGATTCTTGGTGATGACGACCTGGCCCAGGGACACCGTGCGCAGGAGCTGGCCCTGGGGATGGAGCAATGGCGTGTGTGGGCAGGGTTGTGCCCAAGTGAGCGAGGGTGGGTGGGGGTCCTGTGGACTGGGCTCTGGCTAAGCACTCACCCCAGCGCCACCTGCTCTGTGCTTGAGGCAGGTGATGGACACCACGTAGGGCCAGTCATCAGGTTCCATGAGGACGCCAGCAGCATGTGCGCAGGTCACATGAAAGGACGTGGAGCAGTGTTCGTAGGAGCACTGGATGCAGGCGCCAGACACCCTCTTCATACGCTTGCGGCAATACACACACTTCTGCATAGAATAGGGTGCAGGGTTACCAGCAAGGCCACAGAGGAACCTTCCAGGACAGGTGGGGACAACAGGACAGGACTAGGGTCGATGGGATTTGATCTCAAACCACCTTCCTGATGCCAAGTGCCCATCTTCCCTGCAGCACAGAGCTGGGTGTGTGTGCCATGAGGGTTTTAAATTGTCAGGAATATGGATGAAGAGGCCATGTGCACAGGACCTCAGGGTTTGTAATCAGCATGCCACTCGCCTGAGTTACAATGCTGTCACTAAAAGCCATCCAAACTTGAAACCACCCAGCTGTCAGCCCCTGCTTCTGAAGGAGTCTCTGAGGCCACCCACTGGGCCTGCTCAGATGGCCTGTACCCTCGGGCTGGAACATGGTCCCAGGCCCCTGGATTTGTGACTCTGTCACCAGCCACTGGGGAGCACAGTCCAGGCTCTGGCTGTGAGCCAGCCCAGTCCCTACAGGGCTCCACAGCAGTCCTCCACCCAGTATGTCCTGGCAGCAGGGGAAATGAACCAGGCAAAACAAATACAGGATACTGTCCATGCCCCTAACTGAGGGCCTGGTCTCCAGCTTGACCACAGCTGGCTGCTCTCCCCGCTAGAGTGGTGCTAAGTGCCAGGAGCAGAGGTTATCCCAAGATCTGGGCTGAGCCATTCCCATTCCCTCACCTCCTGGCTAGGCCACCTTCCCATGGCCCTCTGCCCCATGCCTTGGGCACAGGGTAGGGAGCCACTGGATTGCAGCACAGACCTCAGGTAGCCATGTGCATACAGGCCCCACTCAGCCCACATCTGGGAGCAGGAGAGGATGGAGGGGGTAAGGGGGATTTGCTGCAAGGCAGGACTGAGGTCACTGATGTTCTCCAGATGGCCATGGCAGTCCACATGCCTGCCTGGCAAAGCTGAAGCCCAGAAAGGTAAGGAGTCTATCTAGAGGCACACACCACCTGGACAAACAGACTTGGACCTCTGACCTCCCTCACAATCCTGCTACAGAGCTGTGTGTGTGTGTGTGTGTGTGTGTGTGTGTGTGTGTGTGTGTGTGTGTGTGTGTGTGTGTGTGTGTGTGTGTGTTCATTAACGAGCTGGAAGAGGCCATGCTCACAGGAACCTCACAGGAACATGGACTGCCTTCAATTCAACAGATACTAAGTGATCCAACTGGAAACAGATCAAAGGTGGGGCCAACAGTCCTCAAAGGAGATGGATCCGTGTGTGTGCCCTGTGTTCAGTCAACCAGGGAAACCATCAAGAAAGTAGAGATGGGCTACGTGCAGTGCGTCAGGATGCATGGACTGGACTGTCCCCACACTGTGTCCCTGCACCCTGACCATGGAGAAGAAGTGCATGCTGAGGGGGGAATGGAGGACACAGGAAAGGTTCCTCAGAGAGTTCCAGAACAGTATTGACAACTTAGAATGCTTATGATATGCATGCAGACAAGACTGTATTCTGGCTGGGAGGTGGTGGTGCACACCTTTAATCCCAGCACTTGGGAGGCAGAGACAGGTGGATCTCTGTGAGTTCGAGACCAGCCTGGTTACAGATTAAGTTCCAGGACAAGCTCCAAAGCTATAGAGAAACCCTGTCTCAGAACAACAACAACAAAAAGACTATATTCTGCCTCTGCATCTGCCTCTGCCAAGACCATGAGCATCACTGTGCTCCAAGACGAAGGGCCAGGCAGGTGAGTGAACCTGGCCACTCAGCCATGACAAGGAAGGAAGAAGGCTGGAGAGATGGCCTAGTGGGAAAGTATGTGTCCAGCTTACAGGATGCAGGTTTGCAGCTGGGCGGTGGTGGCGCATGCCTTTAATCCCAGCTCTTGGGAAGCAGAGGCAGGTGGATCCCTGTAAGTTAGAGGCCAACCTGGTCTACAGGGCGAGTTCCAGGACAGGTTCCAAAACAATACAGAGAAACCCTGCCTCAAAAAACCAAAACCAAAAAAAAAAAAAAAAAAAAAAAAAAAATGGATGTGGGTTTGCACCATCAGAACCCATGTGAAGCCAGATGTACAATGTCTAAACCCCAGTGCTGCTATGGTCTGATTGGAGTCAGACTGGGGAACCCGTGGAAACTGACCGCTCAGGTAGCTGGGCACACACATGGAAAGACTCAAGCAGGGTCCAGGGCAAGGACTGACACTTGAGGTTGTCCTCTGGCTCCACAAGTGCCTGCACATGTGTGCACACACATAGGACACACTACTGTTTGTGACACAGTGGAGGAAGCTGAAGCTTGTGACATGACTCTGAGGGGGTTAGGAGTCACAGCATAGGACAAGGCTCCTCTTCCCCAAGTCATAGAAAGCAAGCACCATAGAGGGGCAGCAGGGAAGGCTGTGGCTGCTGCATGGCCTAGAGGGGTGGCTCTCATGCAGTGCAAGCACACTGAGTTGGGTCACTTGGACCAGGGACTGCCTGGCTGTACCTGTGCACCGCATAGAGCTCTCCACCCAGCCCCGCACAGACCTCTCCACCCTGCCCCAGGGTTATGGGTTTGGAGAAATAAAAAGTCTTAGGTCAGGCTGGGGTTGTCTTCCCAGGATCTCTTGGTCCATCCCAGAACTAAGGCTGGTGGCCACAGCCCTGGGAACCTACCAGTTTCCACCGCTGCTCGGGGATGGCACTGACGTCCACGGGATTGCGCTCAATCACGCTAAGGAACCGTACCTCGGGGACTGCAATGGCGCAAATCACATGAATCCACCTGAGAGGTAAGAGCAGGGTCACAAGTGCACTGGTGATGGGTCCAGGCTGTCCCCCAGGGCGGTGGAGAGGTGAAGTTTATGGGCATTCAGGACACTGCTCCCCTCAAGGTGGATACCCTCTCTTTCTCTCCAACCTCCAGGGAAGCTGAACAGGGTGACAGGAGAGTGACAGTTGCACAGGGAAGGGCGGAGCACACACCTGTGCTCCGTGGTTGTCTGCAGTGCTCCCCCCCGGAGGTTGCACAAACAGCATTCCTGAGGGACAGATCAACATGGTAAGATACAGCTACCTCCACCATGTACCACCCCCACACCAGGGACACCCTAGGGATAATGAGGGCCAGGCCCCAGCCTCGGTACAGCTAAGATCAAGACCACTGGCTCAGGGAGGCCTAGGCCTCCCAGGCTTTAGGCACCACCCAGCACCAGGTGAGTTACCGCAGTCCAGGCATGGGCCGCACACCGGGAGCATGTCCAGCCTTCCTTGGCCAGCTCAGGCCGGACACCATAGCAACCTGGAAGATAGTGGAGTGGTGAAACGGACCAAATCTGACACCTGGAACACCTGCAGCCCCCCCACACCTGCAGCCCCCCACACCTGCAGCCCTCTGCACCTGCAGCCCCCACACCTGCAGCCCCCCACACCTGCAGCCCCCCACGCCTACAGCCCTCTGAACATGCAGCCCTCTACACCTGCAGCCCTCTACACCTACAGCCCCCCACCCCTGCAGCCCCCACCCCTGCAGCCCCCCACACCTGCAGCCCTCTATACCTGCAGCCCCCCACACCTACAGCCCTCTACACCTGCAGCCCCCTACACCTGCAGCCCCCACCCCTGCAGCCCCCACCACTGCAGCCCCCACCCCTGCACAGTGTAGCCTCTTGGGCCAGAACTCTGGGACAGTAACCCTCCAAACTCAAAATGCACCAGAAAGTACCCTCCTGTCCCCAGCGCCTTTCACACCAAGACGGCTATGGAACACTCACTGGCATGGACCTGCAGGCAGCAGTGGGCACAGGAAATGAGTGGGCTGGTACCATCCTCGCCAACATAGGAGTTGGCCGGTAGCGGCTCTGTGTTCTCCCCACTTGAAGTGAAGCACATCTCAGGGATCAGTGGCCGTGTCCTCTGGCCACTTTTGGAGGGTGGCTGGACAGCAACGTCCCCTGGAGTGGCTGGAACCTCTCGCTCTGTCTGTACTGACTACAGAGGCACAGCCATCAGCAGGTGCCAGAGGATCCCATATTCAGCTCAGGGCCACAGGAGCCCAGGCTGCAGCTCCCCCTTGCCTAGCCTCAGAGTCTGGGGTGTTCAGAGCTGCACTCCCCTGGGGATAGGGCTGCACTGGGGCTGAGTGGGGTGGGTGAGCCAGCAGCTGTGGCAGCAATACGGGGAGGCCAGGAAGAGAGCTCACCTGGCTATAGGGGTAGAAAAGGGTACAGATGGCGCAGTAGGGCTCATTGAGGGCAGCTGCAGCATTGAACTTCCTCTCAGCTTGGAAGCTGGCTGCCTTGTTCTTCCACTGCAGTGACAGCAGGGACTTCAAGGCCTCGGGATCACTCACATCGTCTTCTCCTGAGAATGGGAAGGCTTCTGTGATAGATGAAGGGGCTTGAGTTGGGAGACGAGGCCCCAGGGCAGCACCTCCCTACTGGTGCTCCTGTCTGCACAGCACCTGGCTGGTGCTCTGCATTCCTAGCAGGGAGGGAGGGGCTGGTTTCCCTTCATGGGTCTCCCCAGAGCCTAACCTAGGGCCTGGACACCAAACATGCCACCCTCAGACACATCCTTGTACCTGTGAAGCTGCACACAGCACTGCCTATGTGCTGGGGAGCCTCAGCCACCAGCCTGCTGAAGGCTGGCCCACCCGTGTGGCAGCATGGCCACAGATGGGAGTGGGGACTGTCAGCCACTCCATACTCATCACCTTGGAGCCTGGGACACCTGCCTGCACACAGCCCATTCAGCCTGGAGAAGCCCCACACAAGCCCAAGGGAACCAGAGACCACAGGACTGTGCTGAGTTCCTGCTGTGCCACCTTCCAAGAGACACTCAGGGCATGGAGCCGGGGGAGAGTTGCCAGTCTAGGAGTTCCCAGAGAGCCTTCTGGCATGAGCTCAGCTGGGAGGCAAGAGCCTGGGACTTGGTCTCAAGTGTTCCCCGGGTTCCTGTCATTCCTGTGGTGAGGTCTTGGGGTAAAGAGCTGCCAGTGTGAGCACAGTGAAGCCGTGGGTGAAGAGTTGCCAGCCGCCTCTCAGACTCTGCCAACAGCTTAAAGAGCCAAGACCCATCAGGACCTGCACACAGGCACTACTCTACCTGCCCTGTTAGCCAGCAGCAACCTCTGTACCCATGGCTCAGCCACCACTGGGGAGTCCCTGCCTGGAGTACCCACCTGCACTCACCAGGTCCCCCAATCCATCTAGAGCCACACCCTAAGCTAGCCTTTGTACCACATCTGGGGATACACTCTAGCCACCATCTCTGCAAGCACTGACAAAGACCTGAGGGTGCAGAACTGGGACAGAGGAGCCGTGGCCACAGCCCACTCCCATGGTCCCAAACCACACTGTGCACCTGTACCCTCTGCACAGGTGCTGGCACCAGGCTTCAGCCGCCAGTCTCAGGTCCTGGCTCCCCCTCCCCATCTTCCCACCGAGACCCTGAATGCTGCAGCCAGGGGCCCTGGTTGGAGATGGTTGTGATCTAGGCCTTCACTGGTCACATGACAACGAAGCAAATGATTGGTTGGGAGGTGGGGTGTGAGGTGGAGGCCCTGTAGGTGGCAAGGAACTGGTGGTTGAAAGTATGGGCGTGTGTGTGTGTGTGTGTGTGTGTGTGTGTGTGTGTGTGTGTGTGTGTGTGTGTGTACCTCTGCAGATGGGAAAGGGCAGAGAATTCTGTAGTGAGCCTCCCTCAGGATGGTGATGAGGGTGACACAGTGTAGGAAGGCCCTGACTCCAAGAGGCTGAATAGGTAGACACTGGCACCTGTGGAGGGGGTGGCCTGGAAAGAAAGCAGCATAAAGGCTGAGGGCCCTGCTCACCTTCATCACTCGAAGCCTCCTGCTTGACCACAGACAGCGGGGACCGTGTGGGTGGCCGACCCAAGGGGTGACGCCGGCTTTTTTTGATTTCCACCTTCAGCTTAGAGAAGGAGGATGGTGCCTAAAACATACAGCGTTGAGTGCTGGATCCTGTCACCCACAGCATGCACACATGCACTCACACACAGTCACCCACGGCATGCACACATGCACTCACATACACTGTCACCCACAGCATGCACACATGCACTCACACACAGTCACCCACAGCATGCACACATGCACTCACACACACTGTCACCCACAGCATGCACACATGCACTCACACACACTGTCACCTACAACATACACTGACTCCAGTTGCCACCCTGGCACCCAGATGCCACACACTGTGTGGCAGAGCCACAACTGCACCTGGTGACCATTAACCACCTACCTACCTGTGCATCACTGGCTTGGGCCTGGCTTTCCTCTTCTGGTCCCAGTTCCATGGGTGCCAGCTGTGGGTGGGTAGTGCGCTCTCTGTCCCCATCAGCAGTGTTGTTCCGGGGAAGCACATATAGCATAGGGATGATGGGCCGTGGCCGCACCTCTGCCTCCTCACCTGGTGCCCCAGGAGGCACCACATTGAGAGGTGCTGATGGAGGACCCCCCTCTGCAGCCATGGGGCCCATGGCTGGCACCGGAGACTTGGGTGGGGGTGGTGGCCTCAGCACCTCCTCAGGGGGTAATAGAGCTGGTAGGGTGGGTGGCAATGGGGGTGACAGGGGGTTGGGGGTCTTCTTCTTGCTCCGGGCCTTGGTTGGCCGGGGCTTGCCTCTGCCATCCTCTGGGAAGAGAAAGCTTCATTCAGAACCAAGTGGAAACACATGGGAGCAGAAGACCATGCTCTGTGGTGAGGAGATAGAAGCTGACTGGGAACTCAGTATCTCCAAAGCTTGAGCAAGTTCAACCTCCAAAAGTGCCTGGTACTGGACTGCTACACTTAAAGAGATTCCTGAGCTGGTGTGGAGCTGCACAAGGGCTATCCTGGGCTCATGATACTCTGTCTCCAAAAAAAAAAAAAAAAAGGACAGAAGACTTGAAGGAGTGATCTAACCTTCTGGAAGAATTAGGTCTAGGAGGGGGAGCCTGAGCTCTCAGGAAGCAGCAGTGAAGACACTCAGTTGTCCCCAGCCAGAGGCTCCTTCCAGGCTAGCACAGGTGTGGGGAGTAACAGGTTTCTACAGTTACTGCAGACAACACATCACACAGCCACCACAGAGGGACCCAGCAACAGATAGATGGACCTGGGGACCTCCCTATGGCAGCCTCTGGGGTGAGTGTTGGAGACAGTCCCTCCCTGACAGGGGGACATGAACAAGAGGGGCCAGTGGGACGGGCCTTTGGTGGTACTTTAGTTTGGTGCCATGGTGACTATACAGCATATTACTTAAGCAGGGACAGGTAACAGGGACAGAATGATCAGGGCTTGGTGACTTGTACCATGTTCTCCAGGGAGCCCTACCTGACACTGTGTGCCCTGGAGCCTAGCCCCTACATAGGGCTCCAGGGGTTAAGATGTCACCTAGAGTACCATGGGACTATATCCTGCTGTTGAGTGGTCTGGGTGCCTCTAGTATTTTAGGAGCCCGGGGCTGAGCGACTCATGGATAACAGCTGTACCCCAGGCTTGGAACCTGTCACCTGCCCTATCTAGCCAGGCATGGGAGAGGATGGGATGGAAGGCATCCTGCCCTTCTGGCACTGGAGTTAGGCCTTGGGAGCTGGCCACCTTTGTGTATCACACCCTCACACTGCAAGGGCAAGGCTCACTAATCCAGATGACAGCTAGCACTCTGCTAGGTCTCCAGTGAGCTCAATGGCACTGCCAACCTCTAAGACACTCAGTTCCCCACCCTGAAATGGGACATAGTGAAAACAGGTAGGGTGTCTCCCATCCCCAGGACAACAGACCACACTCACTCCCATACTAGAGTTGCTGTGATCACCAAGGACCAGGATGAACCCCTACAGGATATATTCTTGGACCCAGGAACAGATGTCAAAACGGGACCCTGTCCTGGTTTTCTTATGACCAACAACAGCTGTGGAGGCCTTGGTATTGCCAGGTTCTGTGTGGCCATGAGGGAACCTGGAGCCCTTAACAGAAGCCCAAGAAGGGGCACGGCATGGGGCTGGCACTCCTCCCAGCCTTGGGACCCACCACTCCTGCACACACCTCGTGTCTCACCCTGGCCAAATGTCACTCACAGTGTGTGGACCTTTAATTCCTCAGCCCAGGAGGTCCACACGGGTGCCCATCTTGAGACTTGGAACTGACAGGCAAGCGTGACTTTGTAGAGTCACAGAAGACACCCATGATGCACAGGGCCCTAGCTGACAGCCACTTGGGAAGCCGTGGTGCCCTCTCATACTATCAGAGAGGACATTCTAGGTGCCATGTGAGGGCCTGTCCAGCAGGAGACACACCACACCTGCCTGTCACCATCCTTGATGGCTCCAGTCTGCTGGAGTGCCTTGGCAGAATTCCAGGTAGGAAATGCCTGCTCACCACAGCATAGGCAGTCTAGATGGTGTCTAGATGACCACAGGTGACAGGCTGAGCTGCATGGCCATGACCTAGTGTCTCTTGTGGCCACCTCACTGACTACTGGGTTGCCTCAAAGACCCAGTCACCTCCATCTGCTCTAGCCACCCCCTGCCTAGCGATTCTTCTTCCTGCTCTCTGAGGACCAAGGCTTTAGGCACCATTCAGATATGCTGCCCATCGTCCACGTGTTCCACAGTAAAATGTCCCCTATAGACACTGCTTCCACTTTACAATGACTTAAAGTCAAGGAGAACCCTTAAGTCAGCAAAAGCCTCCAAAGACGGCCATAGCTTGCCCTGAGGCCTAGGGCCCTGTTACCTTCCACAGCAGGAGGCCTCTGAGGCCACCACAGGCTCCTCAGGAAGCAGGACGAGAAGCAAAGAGACTAGGTGAGTCAAGGGGACCACTCTCTCCCTCACACCATACTCAGGAGGGGGCACCTGATACCAGATCCACAGGGAAGAGACACATACTTTAAGGCACCAAAACCCCAGTAACCAGTTACATGGCTGCAGCTCATATGCCAGTGTGGAAGATGGAAGCAGGAGGCCCATGACAACCACAGGACCAGGCAGGACGCTTCAATGAGTGTGCAAGCCCCACAAGATGACCAGCAGGCAAGCAGATGGCATTCCAAGGAGGGCAAGGTGTGTGCATATGCAGTGGCAGCATTAGGACAGGTTGGGGACAGGCAGGAGTCAGGAGTGAGAGGGTAGGAGGCACTGACGGGGAGAGAAGGGTTGGGGGATATGAGGCCTTGGATCCAGGGTGTCAGTGGGCACACCGCCTGTGTCCTGCAGCTTCTGTGTGTGTGTGTGTGTGTGTGTGTGTGTGTGTGTGTGTGTGTGTGTGTGTGTGTGTCTGTTGGCATCATTCCAGCCCTCAGCTCCTGGAGACCCACATGTGACGACGACGACAACCACAGACAACCCAGAAGGGCACAGGGATGTCACAGTACCTCCACACCTGCAGCCTCCTGGCATCTCCTGCTTCTGCAATAGCTTGCTATTGTCACCACTCTCAGAGCAGGGCAGAGCACAGGTTCTTACGCACGCCAGAAAGCACCTTACCACCTCACCTCAACCATGCACAGGTGTCTAGCTTGAAGCCCCCTGCATCTGTGCCATCAGTGTCTTCTTGTCAGCTTTAATTTGCTGTGTAGTAATTCTGACTGGTTCTCACTGGCTGGATGGAGCTAATGTCCACCAGTGGCCTCGCTCATCCACAGTGTCTGCAGGCCCTGAGTCTCTGGCCATGCATAGCCTCGAGCATTACCTTGTGGCCACCCTGCTTTCCCTCGTTTGGCCTTTCTGGAACGGAAGACTATGTCATGGTATGCTGTGGACAGGTCTCTGTAACTCTCCCCAGCAGCTAGTGAGAATCTGAGATGCTGTGTTGATGCACACCGGTCCCTGGCCTCTAACCCCTGCTTCACACTCCTAAAAGGCCACAGAGGGAAGTCCTTCTCTACCTTGGGGGCAAGGTTGCAACTGAGTGGAAGCCAGGGGTAGAAATGAGGCACCCAGTGTATGGAACAGGAGGACTGGGACACTTCAGTGACAGATTGTAGCTCAAGGTCCCCATGTCACAGGTGCCTGCATAACTCTGTCACCACCCTGGGCCATGGTGTGTCCAGGCCAGCAGGAGCAAGATAGCAAAGTAGGACCAAAGGGACCCAAACCCCATGCTGTGGGCATCCAGCACTGACCTTCCATGCCCTCAACCTCGTGGCCCTGTGAGGGCAATAGTTCTTCATCCTCTTCCTCGTCCTCAGGTGTGGCCTCCTCCCGGGAACAGCCCCCAGCCTCATCCAGACCAGCCACTCTGGTGGCCGCCTCCCCAGGAGACTTGGAGTCTTCAGGCTTGGACTTCTTAGGCTGGCTCCGTCTCCGGTGTGACCTGGAGGAGGGCACTGATCAGGCAGGAGGGGAAACGGAGGAGACTGAGGTAATACAGGGTGGGCAGGGAGGAAGGCAGGGAGGAGCAGGGCTGGGGTGAATAAAGCAAGTGATGGCGGCACGGGATGGACAGGACACTGGATGCGAGGGAGATCACTTACGCCGGCCCTGGCCTCCTGGTTGGCTCCCGCCTCCTCTCTAGACTCGGCCTCCTCTCCTCCTCAGCCTTTCTCCAGGGTCTGCTCTCCTTCACACTAATTTGTCTAGAATGTAAATTTCAGGATTTTCCTCTGGCTCCAGGGCTCTCTCTACAGCCCTCCATAAGGGGCTCTTAGGCCCTGTGCCTAGCCTGAGCACAGGAACATGCTACCCTCCTAATGACAGCAGGGATGGCCCCTGATGCCACAAACAGGCCTTGCTGAATGATGGGATGGGGTGAGCATGCGCAATAGGGGCAGAGGTTAAAGCTGCTTAGCCTGACAAGGGGGAATGGCTTCCTGCAGCTCTGTGTCCCTGGGGTCCCCAGTCCAGTATCCCTCACCCATAACAGCGCCTCATTAGCCCAGAGAGCTGAGAATGCTCTGCAATGCCTAGGTGGTGGCCTTTGTGATTCTGTCTGTGGCCTGGCCTCCTTTCCCTGTGGCTGAAATATCCTGGACCAGGCAGGACCTCCCCCCAATGAATGTGCAAGCCCCCCACAAGATGACCAGCAGGCAAGCAGATGGCATTCCAAGGAGGATGCAGGCAGAGGCAAGGTGTGCATATGCAGTGGCTGCAGGACAGGCTGGGGACAGGCAGGAGTGAGGGGACAGGAGGTACTGACAGGGAGAGAAGAGGGGTTGGGGACACCCCACCCCTTCTGCTCTGGGTAGGCAGCCCCAGCAATGCAGTGACTTGGAAACATGGAGTCAAAAAGGAAGGGTGGTGGTTCAGTTACCCCCAGAGCCTAGGGCTGCTCCAAGTGGCTCCCAGCTCCAGACAGGGCTCACAGCCTGCATCCAACTCACTGGGTCACAGCTTCCTGAGTGGTCCCGATTCAGTCACTGTCCTGACCCCACTGTGAGCTGTTCCTGGAGGCCACTCCAAGGGTCTGCTCAGCCCTTGCACACCTGACTGGGACACCCTGGGCCTCACACAACACTATTTACAACTGAGCACAGCAGCCTGCCTGGTTTCCCACAGCCACAGTGTTCTAGGCTCCAGGACATGGGACCTCAGCCCACCTGTGCCCCACACCAGAAAATAAGGGACTCCCTCCAGGGCAGGGAGGGCCACTGTATGCCAAAGAATAGCCATGTTGTATTGGGAAAACAAGCTGGGACCCAGGTTTGTGCCAACTGTCACACCCCACACTGATGCCTCTCCCAGAGGCAAGGCCTGACCTCTCCACCCCTCCTGCCCCCAGCCATACACAGGTGTGGCCACCCTTCTGCAACAGCTTCTCTTTAGGCAGCCAAACTGGAATCTTTGTGACCTGAGCTGGGGCAGGGCCCCCGACTCTTGGGGTTTGCTTCAGAGCCTCTTCGACTTGATGAGCAATTCCTCTTGGTATCTCCAGGTGTTCTGGCCCTACTCTATGAACTCCTCTGCAGCTTGTCTCCAGCTCCACAGTGGTGACCCTAGCACCCCGCCCCTGTTCCAGATGGCACACATCACTATGCCTCTGACAAGGTGACCCCTCTGTAGCACTGCAGCTCTTGGGGCTTACACTTGTGCTGGGCTGATACGTGCCCTGCAGTAGCTTTTTCAGAAAGGAAGTGTGCTGTGGAGCTGCAAGTCTGAAGATGTCTTTCCTTCCTGTGTCCAGAGGTGGTCAGGATGCGGGGTCCTGGGAGGGGATCTTGGGAGGGCACCACAGCCTTTAGCCTGATGCTAGGATCTCTCTGGAAGCTCTGGGGACTGCCTGCTGAACCCAGGGGGGGATCCATGGGTATGTTCCACATTGCGGGTGATTATCACCCTGCCACAGGACTAGGCTGCACAGAGCCACTGCTGCATGTGTCTGCTTCCCTTAGAACTCACTGGAAGCTGTACTCGTGTACCTCTGCTCGGCTTCCAGCACCCTCTGTCTGCTGATGCACGGTGCTCATGCATTTCCCTGCAGCATTCTGGGCCAGCTGTGCTGGCTTTTCCTGTCCCTGCACTTCTATCATGTGCTGTGATGGCTTCAGGATCTCCTTGAAGGCCGTTTCTGCCCCCTCCTGGCCTCGAGCCTTGTTTTGACCTGGCACTAAGGGTGCACTGGAGGGTGGGTGAGGGCTTGCTGACGAGGGTGATGGCAGGTGGAGGTGGAGGGTGGGATGCTCCACGGGGACTATCATTAGGACCAGAGCCACTAGATGTTGTGCTGAAGATGCCAGTCCTCTGCTGTGAGGTAAGTGACATGTCCCAGTGAATAGGCCTGGCTATGGAGGCTCAGGAAGGAGAGGCTGACTCCTCCACTCCAGGGCTCCCACTGGTCTATGCAAGGCAATCAAGGCAGCCTGGAATTCTCAAAGTTCTGGCCCAGTCCAGCCTGCTCTGAAAGACCTCCCGCTGCCCCTCAAGATCTGAGCCACACAGTTGCTCCTGCAGTCTGTCCTCACCTACACACCAATGGCATTACCCCATGGCTGAACAGGACATCATTATGTCCATTTTTCAGAAGTCAAGTGTTGGCATGTGACACAAACTCTTCTGAGATGAAAGCAGGTGCCCTAGGACTTGATGTGTGACAAGCGAGCCTACAGCTTTTGCAGAGAGGCATGGCACATAGAGAGGAGACAACAGCTGCAGATACATGGTGACCTGTGTCCACAAAGCAGCTAGGAGACCACCTACCCGTAGGCTCTAGCTCCCTTAATTTGCTCCATTCTTGCCACTAAAGCAGATCTAAGGTTATTTAAAATATCCCCTGGGAAAATGAGGTTAATTCTGGGGTCCAGGAGACCGTCATGAGGCCCAGCAGGTGCCTGGGGTCATGAGTTGACTCTAGTGTTGAGTTTGGTAGGCTGGGGTGTCACACTAGGGAGCCCCCACATATCCACAGGAGGCCAGGTTGGCTGAGGACTGTGGCACTGTCTCCTGGAGTCAGCCCACCTGATAAGCTGCTTCAGAGACAGAAGACTAGGAATGGGACAGGGTGGGCACAGAAGAGGGCCCTCATTGAGTGAGGAGGCTAAGTACACTGCTGCTGGTGTAGTCACAGCTCGCAGCAAGGGGCCAGTGTGGAATGTCTGATGTCTAGGGTTGTGACTGAGGCACTCACTACACAGAGCACAGGGTCAGGGTGTCCTCAGTACCTGATGGCAACAGTGGCTCCAGGCCCTGGTGTGTCAGGGACACAGGTGCTCTGGCCCCACCCTGAACCCCTGATGTGCCTCAGTTTCCCCAGGAGGAGGCACAACATGCTGTGGACTGTGGAAGCATGACCAGTGAGTGCCCTCCCACAGAGGCCAGGGACTTCAGAAGGAACAAACAGCTCTGGCCTTGTACATTTAAACAGCTTTAAAGGAAATGATGTCCTTGGCAGCAGGCTTCATTTGCTATTCAGCCACTGCCACGTTAGCATGGCTTCTGGAAAGAAAGGACGGGATGCCACTTGGGAGAGGATACCTGTGAGAGGATGTTTGGAGGCGTGAGGGTGGGAGGTCCCATGGGCCACTTCCTATGGCCACAGGGTTCCATTTCTGGATGGCCCTGGTGCCACAGTGGTTCTGGAATGTGGTATCTGTTTACTGGTCATCTGCTCAGCCGACCCATAAGCCCAGACACTAAGAACCAACCATCAGGAAACCATTCCCAAATTTTGCAGGCGCACTCAGGCCCCACCACAGGCTGTCACCCGATTGCTAGGTGCTAACAGAATCTCCACTGCAGAATGTTCTAAAACCACAGACCACTCTCTAAGAGAGGGCAGAGAGCAGGGAGTGGGTGGGTTAAGACTGCGGCGTGCACACAGCAGTATCAAAGAGGGCATGGCGAGAGAAGGACTCAGACTTCAGGCGACTGCCCCAGACACAGGCCTGTCTGCAGAGCAGGGTCCCATGCCCAGGGCTACGGCAGCAGTGACCTTGAACTCGTCAGAAGTGGAAGGTAGCAGACTGCCCACAGCATAGCCAATGCAGTGTGCAGGCTGCAGCTGGTTCCAGAAGATGCTATGGATTCTGTAGCATTTGGAAGCCATCAAGATCCTTAACAGTGTTGTCTACAGGTCAAGGTAGCAGTTTTGTTCCTATATAAAGTCTTGTCAACAATGGTGGCTCCTAAATGGGAGCCACAGACCGGCCTGCCAGGTACAGAACTCTTGGACCTCCCTGGCCTTCACAGGCGGACAGCTGAGTTCTGCATAGTCCCACAGCTGTGGCCCTAGCTCAGCTCTGAGGACCGTCCTTAGTCTATCAGAAGCTGAAACCCATGAAGGGCTGTTTGAGGCAAGGAATAAAGATGGACCGTCTGGAGTGAGGAACTGGGCCCAGCTGTGCAGGCCTCCCTCTTAGACAGTAGAGTCAGTCTCCTCCTCACTCTGCCCCCTGCACTGCCAACGCTAGAGATCAGTGCTCAAGGCTATAGCAGCCATATCCAGGTCCCCAGTCAGAGGTGACCACGAGTGGCCAAACTACTATAAGAAGCAGGCCAGGAGGGTCCCGTCATCCTTAGGAGCATGACATCTGGTGTGGGCTTTTGGCCAAATTAATGCTTGCAGGAAACCTGCCAGCTCTCAGAGCTGTATGTTACTAGGAGAAGCAGCAGTGAGCTGTTCATTTGGATGCCCAGGCAACTCCTGTTATAGAATTGAAAGGGCACTGGGAGGCTGTCACTCACCTGCGCAAGAGCTTGGCCTTCAGTGAGGCACGGGAGGCGCTCCAGGAGCTCAGCTCAGGGCTGCTCAGGGCCGTGGGCCGAGTGTGGTCCAGCACAGTGAGGTCGCGGCCCTGCTTCCACTGCTCATAGCGTTCAGGCTGCAGGATGCGTACAAACACGTCCATGGAGATCTTGACCATGTCCTTGCGACATGTGCACTGTGGGGACACACACACAGGCACTGAGTCTCATGCAAGGTACCTGGCTCCCACAATGCAGACACAACTGGTGTGAGGATTGGACTACTGGCCCAGCACCTTCTCTGCCTTCACCACAGGCAGGCCAGGCTGAGAAACCCCAGGAAGCCCGTCAGAGAGTGGATACCCAGTCTTGCCCAGCAAGAAGCGAAGAGAAGAAAGATGGACATGAACCATTTCTAGAGGGCCACATGGTCTAACAGATCAACCACCCAGGACCAGGCAGTCTGGGTGCCTTCCAAAAGGGCCTAGAAGATGTAAGGTGGGGCTTGTACAGACCCAGAGCAAGGACTGGCAAATCCAGACAATGATAGGGAGCAGCCAGGGCTTTTGCTCACGCTGCAGACTGAACACTTCCGAGCTAGTCTCCACCCCAACTGGGCCAGAGCAGAGCACTGGCAGGGTAGCTGAACACACTCCTGCCTTCTTCTGATGGGACTGCAGGCTGTGACACTGCAGACAGGGTTCTTTTTGTCCCTATACCACAGCAGTTATGGGCATCTGGGCATCCTGCGGATGACAAGACTGGGCCTGGTACATGAGGAAATGTCCTGCAGCTCTTGCTCCTCTGTGTTTGAGGTGGGGGAGGGTTGGGATCTGTCTGGGCACAACATACTGACTGAGAGGGAATATTTATGGCTGAGCGGTTCCCAGCAAACTCAACTTGCTTAATGGGAATGTGCAGGATAGCGGCTGTGCAGAGACTTGGCTGGTCAGCGATGGCCGCAGATGGCGCCCAGGTTGCACATTCCTGGGCCAGGCCTCCCCAAGCCCCCATCAACTTTGGATTAAGGGACGGGTGCCAAGCGGTTCAGCCATCACTTTAGCCGTCAGTAATTAGCAAAAGCACCTGAGCACTCCCATGGGTCCCACAGACACAGCCGTGGCCAGTATCGGCTTCATGGCCAGCACCAGCGGCCAGGACAGAGCTGTCAGAACAGGCTGGCCTTGCAGGGACATTGGCCTTCACAAACCCCATGTGGGCTCTGCAGATCTGGGGAATGTGGGCCCAAAAGCAAATGTGGGGAGTCGAGGAGCTGGGTTTGGGTGTAGATGCCTGGAAGCTTGGGGGAGCACAGCAGGGAAGCCTGAGGCCCAGCCTCAGGGAAGGCCCACTCTGAGGTCCAAACAGCTCCCAGGGCTCTGCATCTGGCCCCAGTGGTTTAGCACATCAGCATAGGAGATGGCAGATGGCTGTCCACAGTAAAGACATTCTCCTGATGGACAGAGAGGTCCATCTGTGCAGAGGGTCTAATTGGACCCTGCAGGCTGGAGCCTGCTCAGTGAGGTACAGAGCAAAGTCACCCTGAGCTATATACAAGGAAAGTGGTAGGGCCACCAACTCCAACCCACTCCAGAGCAAGGTGGGGCCTAGGACTCCATCACTTCCTGCGGATAAAAGTGACCTTAAGGCTCACTTACCAGGGCATTTCAGGCTTTCCTCCTTGGTGGGCAGCCATCAATCACCTGGGTACTGTACTGCCACCAGGAATTCTGGGGTATGCACAGACTGTTCTGGTGATTCCAGCCTGTGAGTGGCTATTGAGAAGGGGCTACATCTGCTGGGGATGAGCATGCTTTCTGATGACACTTGACACCACCTGATAGGGCCCAGACTCAGCTCCTATATCCTGACCCTGCACTCCTGTGCCTTGGCAACCAGAGCTGTGACACCAAGTCCTGGATGATGCCATACACCACAGCTGAAAACAACAGTTGCAACCCAGGAGCCCCTGCTCCATGACGTTTGCTAAGAACCTTCTAGAATGTGAGGCACAGGTACTTCACCTCACCTAGAGCAGCCCTTCACTTACACCATCCCTACATGCCACCCCTACCAACAGAACAGTTTTGCAAGTGGCTAAGGGACACATTCAAGCAGACACACAGCATCAGGCCCCTCTGTGGGCCTCCTTGCAGGCACCACACAGGCCTAGTTTCAGGGCCGTCTCCTGTGCTTTGGACGCAGCAACACAAGTGTTTTCAATGGCAGCCATAGCACCGACTAGAGCCACACCCCACCTGCTGTATTCCCTACCTGAGAGTGAGGAAAGCAGCCAGATTACCCTGCCACTTGGCTGGGCCAGTAGCTTTCTGGTCTTGTGACCTCTCTGAGGAGGGCTGGGCATGGGAAAGCCAGGGACATTCCCTAGCCACTGATCTGGTCATGCTGCCTGCTGAGTCTGCCTCAGAATGGGGACTATGGGAGGGAAGGCTCCCGCATGCCCCTCTTGAGGTTGCAATGGAGTCCTGAGCAGGGCTCCTGTCACAGACCTGTAGCAATGGCCTAAGCTAAGGTCAGCTCATGCATGGCAAGTTGGGGAGTTATGACAGGGCGCAGGTTACCATCAGTGTTCTGCAGCCTCCTGCCTACCCTGTCACAGCCCAATGTCTCTCAGGCCTGCTACTGGAGGCCAGGGAGTGAGTGAATGGCTGAGCTGCTGCTGCCCATGGCCATGCAGCACAGTTGTGGCTGGGATGACTGAGTGAAAGTCATCAGTGCCTGCTGAGTGTGGCATGGGTGTGAGCAGTGCAGGGTGGAGTCCTGCCTGGTTGTACCTATAACAGTACAGGTCATAGTGCAGTGGCAAAGTCCAGAAAGGTTACAACCAAGCCTTACCCTACATGCCACATTCTTGCTGGGGTCTGGGGCAGGGAAGTGTGGAAGAAACCAGGAGACACCAGCTCCCCCCACTTCTCGCTCTCCAGGGCAGCTTGTGTCTGCTGCTCTCTGTCCTGTAAGTGTGGACACCTTGGTGCCTCATGCCAACCCGGGCAGAAGCACAGGAATGCCTTCGGGACCTCCTGCTACAGAGGCCATGAAAGAGAAGGGTATTTGCCCCCCCCAGAGCCTGGGACCCCCACTTCTGCTTCCTGTCCATATCTATCATCACCTGGAAGTAGCCAGAGAGAAATGATGCCCGTACCCCCTGCTGTGCAGACTGCTATTTCCAGCTCCACTCTGAGGCAGTTCCTCTAGGAGCCTCCGTAACTGTCCAATAGGAAGTGGCCACTGCCAGACAAAGCCGGAGCTTTTGTGAAGTACAATACATCTGAGGCATGAAACCCTGACCCGTGCTTCCCAGGCCTACAGGGGTATGCTCTTCTGCTCGCTTTACATGGCAGCCTATTAGGGACTGTGAGCCATAGTGGCCTAGCTTGGTGCCTAAGAGACTCAGCAGAACTCACAGGCAAAGAAAAACTGGAATGTGCAATGTGGACAACGAACTGGCCTAAGGGGACTCAAGGCATAGGGGTGGCTCTGCAGACCCAGGGGAATGCCCTGCCATGTGCTTCTGGTAAGGTGGACACCAAGCAAACCTGGAGTCAAGCTTGGACAGCCAGCCTGGACCAGCCTCCAATTCTGCAGACTCTAGGGAGACCTGCAGCACCCACAGCCCCACACATGCGGCCTCATCTTTGTGTAGCATCCTGCAGCTACTACTCTACACCCTGCTGCAGTCATGGGGCCACCTCCCAGCCTATGACATTCAGCACCTCTCGGGGCTGTGTGATGGTCCAGAGCTCAGTATGCCCGCACCTGGCACAGACACCTTCAATATGTGCTGCCTAGGAGACCCCACCTGTGTTGACATGGAGCCTTGCTTCCCTGGGTGGCCCTCATTACTGGGGACTGGTATTCCTCAAAGCATGTGGCCTGCTCCTGCCCTAGTTACTTTCACTTTACACCATTTGTGTCACTGTCCACTTTCCCTCACAGCTCCTAGTGGAGACCGCTTGTCCACCCCACAGGTCCCTAAGGCCAATGACATCATCAGAGACACTAAGAAGACTTGTCTTTCCAGTCTACCCAAGTCATGAGAGTGAAACATAGGGCACAATCAGATGTTTGAAGCCTGTGTGTGGCTGGACCAGGGCTCTCACTGAGGTAAGCCTTGTCCTCATGCTCCTAGGCCCAGGATCAGCCCCGTGAACCAACTATATCTGCGTGCCAGGTGTCTCCAGCAACTGAGGACTGTGTAAGGGTCTCGTCTGTAGTGGGCTGCACACACATCCCTGCCCTACTGAGGACTTCCAAGCCCACAGCTCCCCAGCTCTTTCAGGGCCTCGTCAGGCATGGTGCTGTCACGCCCCACCCTGGGGTTCCCACTGCCTCCCTCAAAGCTGGGCTGGGTGTAGAGCAGTGAGTCCACCTGAGCTCCCAGGATCCTCTGTTGGCTCTGAGCTCCAGTCAGAGGCCACTCTGTTTTGAGAGGCTGGGTTACACTAGAACTCACTCATGTACAACAGTGAGCTGGGGGAGGTAGCAGCTGGAGAGGAGATGATCACAATGTGGTGCAATAAAGCCACCAACCTGAATAGCATGGTACTGCAGGGACCCTCCTGCTCTCGCCAGTGTGGCAATGACAACTCTCAGTCACGGTACAGAAACCAGGGCAAAACACTGAGCCTGCCACCGGGTGGCTGGCATCTGCCAGGGTGGGCGTGGCATCCCTAAAAAGCACCACTGTAGAGAGGACAGCAAAATTGTCCTCAGCTGATTGCAAGTTACTTGTGGCTGGATATGTCCTGGTGTGACTATCTCTACCCTCCTGCCCAAGTATGTACTTCATCCCTTACTTGCAGCCACACAACCTTAGGAATCCCTGCCCACAGGCTTCCTGTCCCTACTCAGGTGTCCAACATGGCCTCCAAACTCAGAACAAACCCAAACTTCTCAAGCAAGCAACAAAGCCAAGTGACCCTCCACCTCACTTTCCCTGGGCCCCTGAACTCTTCCGTTCACAGTGTGAACAGGTGAACTCCCGCCTAGGGGGTCCAGTAGCAAATGGTAGGGGCACACCAGAAGCTGCAGGAGGGGCACTGCCTACCCCCGCTGACCTGAGGGAGACTGGATGCCTGGCTCATGCCTAGTTTGTCAGTCCCTAAAGATAGACTTTGCCAAACTGTGACACCACATCAGCTGGCTGTGGCTTTATGCACCCTTTCTCAATGCCACC